TGAGCTTACCTCCGCACCTATCTCTAAACGGCACATTAGTGTCATAGATGAAGACAATAATGCAGTATCTACTGATACACAAGTAATAACAATAAATGAAGACCATTCATGGGCAGATCATAATGATATGGATTCTTCATAAGGCTTGTTAGATTCAAGAGGAATCTGAATCTCCACCTAGCACAATTAATGTTGAAGAAAATGAGGTAGCAAGCTCATCACTACCTAGTGCTAGTGAGGAGGGGGCCAATCCTTCACAACCATCTCTAGTATCAGAAACATCTTGCTCACATCATGGGGGAGTTTTACCACCTCCTCATAATGCTACTTCCACATCTGTTCATCCCATGGTGACTAGAGCAAAATTAGGGAAGCATACTGGACATGTTCAGATTGTGTTTCAAAAATCGGTTCATAATATGACTACTAATAACTTTGTGTTAAATAGTGCAGGTTTGAATGTTCAAGAGCCTAAAATTGTCAAGCAAGCACTTTAACTTCCACATTGGGTCGATGCAATGAAAGAAGAGCTAAAAGCACCTCACAACAATAATGCATGGACATTGGTTCCTTCACCTTCACCTTAAACAAACATTGTCAGCTCAAAATGGGTGTTCAAGATAAAACTGCATCGTAATGGAAGTATTGACAGGTTTAAGCAAGGCTAGTAGCATGAGGATACTCATAAGTGCTTGGGGTGGACTTCGATGAGACCTTTAGTCTAGCTTTAAAATGAACAACTCTACAATTGATTATTGCTTTTGCTACTACTCTAGCTACTACTCTATCATGGCCACTTAGATAGCTGGATGTAAAGAATGCATTGGTTCATAGAAAACTGAAAGAGGAAGTGTACATTAGTCAACCACCTGGCTTTGAAGATCTTATTCACCCTAATTATGTTTGCAAACTCAACAAATTGATCTATGGTCTAAAGTAGGCTCCAAGGGCATGGTTTGATACATTTACTATTTAACTCTTTCAAATTGGGTTCTATTGTAGTAAAGCGGATTCTTCATAGAGGTCAAGATGCTGTACTACTCTTGCTTTATGTAGATGACATTGTTCTCACAGCCAGTTCATTGCAACTACTTCAAGAAATTATTAGCAATTTGAGTAGCAAGTTTGCACTCAAGGATTTTGGATCTCTTAATTATTTTCTGGGCATTGAAGTAAATAAGTTTCCAAGAGGCATTTTCTTGTCACAAGCCAAATATGCCAAAGACATCCTTTGCCGAGCCTCCATGCTTGAAGCCTCTACTATTGCTACCCCTATGGCTATTAAAGATACAATCACTTTGAGGGATAATGAGCTTGTGAATGACCAAGAATATAGAAAACTTTTTCATAACCCAATTTTAATTGGGGCTAAATGATAAAATTAGAAGGCAATGGACTATTTTCTATAAAGGCTGAAAACTTGAAGGGCTGAGAAGGAAAATGGCAAAACGACGTCCTTTTGACCAATGGGCTAAAAAATAAAAAGAGGCTGGGTTCAGACAAACCCTAGCCCTCAATTTTTCTTGCTTCCTTTTACTTTGCCGCCAGCCACTCTCCCAAAAGCTCCCAAACTCTTTTGATTTATCTCTAAATCCATTCAAAGTTTAGATAGATCACAACAACACAAGAAGAGATTTTCGGATTTGAAGCCCTTATCAAGAGTCGCAAAGGAAGTTTTCGAAGTCAATTCAAATTGGGAGTCCTGATATTTTAAAGGTATGAATCTAGCCTTAAAAGAGGGAAGATGTGTAAAGAACTAGATTAGTTTTAGAATTTCAAATTCTAATAGGGTTAGATTATTATCTGTAATTTTAGGGATTGAGATAAGAATTTAGAATTATAAAAGGGTTTGGGTTCTCCCTGTTTCTGTATAAAAGGGGAAGCTTCGACTTTGAGAGGGGAGGTCAAAAATTGGTCGAAAATTGGGGGAAACAAATCGGGAGAAGGGAAGAAAATTGGTGAAGCCCGGAAGGAATATTGGAGAGATTGAGAGTGAGAAAGGCAAACCAGAAAGTTGTACTTGGAATTCAAGAAGTAAAGTCTTGATTTTTTCTATTTTTTGCAGGTGCATCATTCTTAATTTTCTTTTTTTTCTTCTGCGTTGCCTTCCTATTGTATTCTGTTCTTTCTCTTTTCCTTTTGCTTTTGGTGATTGCTTGATTCCCCTTTTAAGCCGTTTTCTTCCATGTTTGCTGAAATTAATCTTGATCGAAAAAGAAAAAAAGTTTATAGGTCAGGTTATATTAATTGTTGGGAATAATGCAGAATCTTTTTGGGAGAGTCTATTTTGTTTGTTTTTGTTTTGTTTACCCATATAGCTTTTTTTCAGAGATATTAGATGCATCAGGTAAAAAAAAAAAAAAGGTTTGATACCATCAAATTGCTTTTGGCACTAGCAGCTCAGAAATGTTGGTTTGTATACCAACTTGATGTTAAATCTGCTTTCTTGAATGGTTATTTGAAAAAAGAAATACATGTGGAGCAGCCTGATGGATTTGTTAAAAATGGTACTGAAAACAAAGTCTATTTGCTCAAAAAGGCTTTGTATGGACTTAAGCAGGCTCCTAGAGCTTGGTACAACAGAATAGATGAATATTTGCTGAAATTGGGTTTTGTAAAGAGTCTCACTGAAGTCACTCTTTATGTCAAAGAAGAGGGAGCTGATTTATTGATTGTTACAATTTATGTGGATGATTTTCTCATCACTAGCAGCAATGAAAAGTTGATCCAGCAGTTCAAAGTTGAAATGGAGAAGGAATTTGAAATGAATGACTTAGGGAAAATGTCCTACTTTCTTGGAATGGAAATCGGTTAGACTAGTCAAGGTATATTCATATGTCAGAAGAAATATGCTAATGAGATTTTGAATTAGTTTGCAAATGGTTAATTGCAAAACAGTCAACACACCTATGGTTCCTTGTGAGAAGCTAAGAAGTGACGATGGTGCAGCTAAAATTGATGCAGGAGTATATCGGAGTTTAATTGGGAGATTGTTATATTTATGAGCAACTAGACTTGATATAATGCATTTAATGAGCCTTTTGTCTAGGTTTATGCATTCTCCCAGTGAAATACACTTCAAGGCAACCAAGAGGATCCTAAGGTATGTGAAGGGAACAACTGATTTTGGTGTTCTTTATAAAAGGTCAACAAATGTGAAGCTAATTGGATTTACAGATAGTGATTGGGCTGGTTCAGAGGAAGACATGAAGAGTACCTCAGGACAGTGTCTTTCTATTGGTTCAGGGGTGATTAGTTGGAGTTCTAAGAAGCAAGACTCAGTTGCCAAGTCAACAGCAGAAGCTGAGTACATTGCTGCTTCTCTTGTTGC